AAAGAAAGAAAGAAAGAGACAGGGAGAGAGAGAGAGAGAGAAAGGAAGGAATGAAGGAAGGAAGGAAGGAAGTTAAATAAAAAATTCTTTAAAAAGACTTAGAGTAGACAAAATGTATTCTTCATTTAAAGATTCAGAAGATATTCAGTACTCTGCAGGGTCCTGGTCAATATTACAATTAAATCACTTATTTAGTATATAACCAGATATAGGAAGTGCTAGTTAATAGACAGTACATTTGCCAAAATGCTGATTGACATTTCACTGAACATACAGTAATCAAAATAACGGATAGATACTGGCTATAACAAGACATGGGAGGAACACGGCCTTGCCCTGTTGCTCACATTGGCTTAGAATCCGACTCCTCCTGACTCCCAAATATCTGGGATTATTATTATTAATTATTATTATTAGGCATGTACCATAATCCTAGGCTCTCCACATCTTTTCAGCTCTGCTTTAGTCTCTGGAGGTTTTCCTTGGCAATGGGATCCTGTCTACACTGCTGAAGTCAATGTCAGGATTTGGGTACTACTGCTCAGCATGTCTGCTCTGGCAGTCTCCTGAAGTAACCTGGGGAAACTTACCTGGGCAATGTCGAAACCTCCATTTTCAGAATAATTCTCTGATAAACATTTCACTTTCTCAATCTAAAGACCCTATCATGTTATTTAGAACCTTAAAATACCTAATTCTTTTTTCCTCTAGAATTCTGTTTGCTTCTAGTCAGACTCACTGAGGTTCCAGTCTAAGCCCTTAGTTTTATATTCTTCCACAACTTCTTAGAAACTAGTACTAGCTAATCTAGAGACACTCTTAAGTGCCACCGTTTCCCTTTATTGTCTGGAAAAAGGCATAACAACAAAACAAAAACTCAGAAAAGCCCTGGACTAACTAATCATCAAACTTTCCTTTCTTCCTCCCTTATCTCACTCTCTCCCTCTTTTCTTTCTTTTCTCTAATTCAATTAATACACATTTACAGAGGGCCTACTTTGTGCATTAATCTCGAGATGCAGCACTGGAAAAAACAAACCAACAAAACAATGAACAAACAATGTCCTTGTCCGGAGGGCATGTACTTGCAAGAGAGAGAGGTAGAGCGACCTCCTCAGTGGGGTGTGGTCATACTGCAATCTCTTCTCCATTTCGTGGAAATTTTTTTGCCTATATTGCCTAGACATATATATATATATATATATATGTCTAGTGTGTTTTCCAAGATGCCAGCTCTGGCATTCATACTGCAATACTGCAGTGGGCTATGCGGGATCAGGCTCCTTTAACTACTAGGCTATTGGACCCAAAGTTTACATTTTTATATTTCCTTTATAAGTAAAAAGGGAGAAAGGTTAGAGATAGTCCATCTGCTGAAATGGAGATAAGGATGGTCATATATTGTAAAGAGAAGTTATATATTTCTACACTTAGATTCTTCTTTGGCCGGGTGGTGGCACAGCTGGACCTTGATGGGGAAGGTCCTGGGTTTGTATCCTAGGGCTCCCTGTACACCAATGATCTGGAATGGCCAGAACGGGAGTGGAATGCTGTATAACAAGTTTATTGGGGATGCTTGTCTTTCTCGCTCTTTCTCTCTCCAAAAAAAATTAAATACATAAACTTAAAAAAAAAACTTCCTAGTTTGAAGGTTAGAGAAACCAATTGTTATTAAACACAGTGATCTAGTTCACATTAAAAAAAGGCTCTGGGGAATTTATTTTAAAAATACTGCTCTAATTTAGAAAGGCCAAAGCTGAAAATTTGTAAGATATCTTTCAATGACTCCCAGCATAAAGTTTATCTAAATATGATGCTCGATTCATTTGTTTTATCTGTTTAGATAGTTTTTCCTTGGTCTTCCTGAGATGCTCTTTGAGAACAGAGAAATATCTTAGTCATTTTAGAATACCCAGGGACTTGGAGAGTGCCTGGTACTTAGAAGCAGATGCTTAATAAAACTGTTAAATGAAACGAAACGTTGTGTTCAGATTATTTACAAGGCTGGCTCACAAACTGGCAAGATAAGTGGATTTCTTCCATAGTTTCAGAATACTATGATGTCTTTAAAAAATTAAGCTTCTGCTTTTATTTTTTTTTAAATTTTGCTATAGGGCATGTGTGCTTGTCAGAAAGAGAGAGAGAGAGAGAGAGAGAGAGAGAGAGAGAGAGAGAGAGAGAGAGAGAGAGGTGAGAAAACACACTAAGGAGAAATGGCTATGCTGCAATTCCTTCTCCTCCATTCTCCAGTCAGGATTGTGGGCATGCATCCACATGTGCCTGGCTTGTTTTCCAACCTGCTGAGTCTAGGAATGGAACCATGCAGTTGGCCATGTGGATCCAGCTTTTTTTATTTTTATTTTTATTTTTTTTGGAGAGGTTTTTGCTATACCGCACGTGCGCTCACCAGACAGAAAGAGAGAGACAGAGAGATAGAAAGCGAGAAATCATCCTCCAGAGGGGAGGGCCATGCCGCAATCCCTTCTCCTCCATTCTCCTCTCGGGATCTTGGGCACACACGCACACGCGCCCGGAGTGAGTTTAAGCCACTGGGTCTGGGACTCAAACCGCGGTTGACTACATGGGAATCCAGCAACATAGCCATTATGCTAACTGCTGGTCCCTGGATCCAGCTTTAATAACCACCATGCCACTGGCTGGTCCCAGCTTCTAGTTTTCTTTTTTTTTTTTTGTCCCTTTCATTCTTTCTTTTAAATAATGCAGAACATTTAATAACTTAAGTGTAAAGTTTGTACTTGCGGATATTTTTAAACATTCAGTAAATATGACCTTATACATCTTACTCATCTTTCTGAATTCTCTGAGGTATAGCCAAATTTATTTTATTGTAATAACATATACATTAAATATATGCACAAATATATGTAATAAAATATATAAATATGATGATTTATGTAAATAATTTACAGAATCATGGTTGTTGTTTAATTTTTGCTGTGTGTGTGCTCACCAGAGAGAGACAGAGAGAAAGAGAGAGAAAGCGAGAAATCACCCCGCCAACACGGCCACAACACAATCCCTTCTCCTCTACACTCTTTTTGGGATTTGGGGCATGCATGCATATATGCCTGACATGATTTTCAAGCTGTCAGGTCTTGGATCAGGTCTTGGACTTAAAACTGAGGCTGGCCATGTGGTATCCAGTGCCTTAACCTCCATGTTGGCTCCATTGTGTGCAATTTCTGTCTGTCTTGAGCCTTTAGCTAGTCGGAGAGATGAGGGTATAGATATTTTGCCCACGTTATACTCTGCCTCAGAGTCTAAAAACCAGGGTTGATTTCATACATGTGTGATTCATGCTTTTGCATAGGCATTACACTGAGAGGAGCCCTATGCTTGGTTTAATACTCTACTTTTGCTGGAGTGAAATTCTTAATAATTTCTGAATAAGGCACCTCCCTGCATTTTCATTCTGTCCTGGGTCTGACCCATTATTTAGCCAGTTCTTCCAGAAAAGAATCTCCACGTATTAAGGGTTGAGTTCTCATATGTCATTCAGGACAGAAGTGTTCATTGCACTCATTTTCTGTATTTCATGAGCTCGACAAGAGAGTTGCTCTGAGGGACACTGGAGCCAGAACTGTCAGTCACCGAGGGGCTCTATAGACGCTGTGGCCAGTCAGAGATTTCAGACCAACAAAACATAAGCTTCTGCTCAATAAATGAGATTTCCAAATACAGGGAAACCTGGGTAAGGACTTTGGTTAGTGAAGGGAAGCAATGACAATAGGTGGTGAATGTGGAATACTGGCCGTGTGTTCTGCTGTCACTTGAGATAGGTCCCAATCTAAAATGTGGGGGACGACTGGGCAAAGGCAGGATCAACAAATTTACTGAAGACTCTGGTTAGCCATATGAGAAATTTTTTATGACTTATGAAAAGTCCTTTAATACTTTCCTACTTAGCAAAATGAAGAACTGAATGTTTGTGAGGAACTGCCTTGCATGTGAAAAATGTTTCCACTACCGGAGTTTCTAGGATAGGAATATTCACCATAAGCAAGCGATTTTAAGGTGGGAAAACTCTGTGACACTAGCTTAAAAGCACATCTTGTGCTACTTTTATATTGTAGAAGTTGAAAGTTGCTGGCATCTGTAAGTTATCATTAAAAAAAGAGATAGGGGCCAGCAGGTGGCGTATCATTAAAGTGCTAGGACTCCCATGTGGCTGGCCATAGTTTGAGTCCTGGACCTGGTGGCTTGAAAATCATGCCAATGAGTGTGCATATGTGCCCAAAATCCTGAGAAGAGAAGGGAGGAGAAGGGATTGCAGTGCGGCTATCTCCCTGGGGGTTGATTTCTCACTTTCTCTCTCTCTCTGGTGAGTGCATACACCCTATGACAAAAAAAAAAAAAAAAAAAAACCCAAAAAACAAACAAACAAACAAACAAAAAACAAAAAAAAACTAAGAAAAAAAAAGTAATAGTAATTATCATAATTACTATTTTGCATCAAAGGCAAATGATTTTTATAGGAGTTGACTTACTACCTAAACCAATGAACCTAAATGAATTTAAAAGTTAATCTAGGCAAAATTTAAATTTCAAGATGACAAATTTCCCCTGTGAGTTTGCAATTTATTTAGAATATGAACATTTCAAATTTCTTTAAAAAGCTATTCTTCTGAGAGAAAAATGAATTAACAACATAGTTTTCGACATTTCTTTTTGTGATAAATGGAGCACTCAGGTCTAATGGTGCATTCATCAAGAAGATAAATTTTGGTATCAGACTGGTTCAAGTATGCTTTTCTATTTACTCTGTGGCCCTGGGCAATTTATTTGATATTGTAAGCCTCAGTTTCTGAATTTGAAATAGGGATAATAACAACACTCAATGCATAGGGCTGATCTGCTGATCAAATTAGATAATGAATGCAAATGTTCAGTACAGTGATCAGGACATGAGAAACACTACCAATGAAGCTATTATCATTAGTAGGATTACTCTTCCAGGATTTTAACCTTATAAATAATTACCTTATTGACAGGAATAATGTTTTTGACATTGAAGTAGAAGCCAAAATAAACCATGTTGAAAACTCCATGACGTCCCAAAGTTGCTGTAAATCCTTTGTTGAGGCCCTGGAGTCCCAAGCCTTCCTTCTTAATGATTTGTCTTGCATAACCTATGGTGGATGGTTGCTGCAGGAAAGAGAAGTTGAATCAGAAGGATCATCTTTGGGACTGTGAAATAGATTAAATTACCATTTTAACTTTCCTACAAGCCAGAGTTATTAGGAACTTGCCCTCCACACACATGCAAATAATCATGCCTAGATCTATGCCCTTTAAAGTGAGAAAACCACAAAAGTAAACAAAATTGCATGCAAAACAATGGGCTTTACAGGGATGATTATTGACAAAGAAAGAACACTAATTGGTGGAATTAGTGAAGCTAATGCCATGCAATAACTAGCACTACTTTCCTTCACTGGAGAGTGAGAAAGAGAGAGATGAGCACCCTCCACAGGGTTTGGTCATGCCATGATCCCCTTCCTCTAAATTTCCAGCCAGTCAGTTCTTGGGCACTCATGTGAATGCCCGGTGTGTTTAGACAGATCAGACCAGGGATCTGAACCATGGTCGCCATCTGGGATCCAGCTTTTCCTGAGTAGTGCATTCATGCTGCACCATGGGGCCAGGCCATTATCACCACTTTCAACATAAAATTATATCCAGTTCTGGGTTACTCTCACCAATGGAGGGGTTTAGCAGTATAGATAAATTGATAATCCAAATAACTGCATATACTTCAAAAGGAATGTATACGTGGCTCCTGAAGCCAGCATACTTACTTTTTTGATGATGTTTTTCTAAAGCTAATGTTATAATTAGACTTGATCTCATTGCCTCAGTGGATTAAACTGATGCTGAGTTAGAAATCGGCCATGGATAAATAGAATTGATGGCACATGTCCTTAAGAATATGGGAAATCAGTGGATATATCATTTGCTGTGATGAATTATAAGTCAATCTTGTTGGTAGTACTGGGGGTTATCTCTAGTTTACTCCTTTCCAGTCTTCTGGCTGATCACCCAAAGCTGAAATACCTTGACTGCTGGAGTCTTGTCTGTTGGTACTTTTGGAACTTGCTAATGTATGCAGTGCAGTTTGCTCTGAGGTTTACAGCTCATTACACAACAATTATAATTCATGTGTGTTTTTTAAAAAGTATGAATGATAGTTTCCTTTCTGGGAGTATGACACAAAGGAAAAATAATATCTCTCCCTCTTATATTTTGACTAATTTTTTTTTTCCCATGAGAAATACACTGACATGACATTTGCTTGATAACTCACTGGAATAAGTCGCTAGACTAGCCATGGAAGTCTGAAGCACTTTCAGACTAACAGTGTTTTCTTACCATGTGCAATTATGGCTACAGAACTGAATAGAACAACCCAATCAAGGCTTTCATCCACCTTGTACTTCTAGCTGTGTAATTAACATAATACATTTAAATTAGCTTGTTTATATAGTAAATCCTATAGTACTTGTTGATAAATGTTTCAAAAACTCTCCCTAGCTACACTCAATTTCATCTTTTAGGAGGACTAATTATAATAAATTTTATTAAGCTTTGGAAAATCCTTCTTTGTAATATGAAAAAGCCACGTGAGAGGGATCAGGTTGATAGTATAGTGGTAATGCAATGGGATCCACACGGAGAAGGTCCTGGGTTTGTGTTCTGAGACCTCCCTGAAGACACTGGGCACATCTGCATGTGCCTATGATCCAGGCTGGCTGAGAATTGGGGGGGATCATGGTGTGAAGACCCTCTTGGGACTGCCTGTCTCTTTTGTCTTTCTCTCTCTGTATCATTCCCTCTTGTGGAATAAATCAATAAATAAATGTTTAAAACAAAAGACCAAAAGCCATGTGAGAATGTATCTTGAAACAACAAAGGACATATTTATGAAAACCAATGAATTTTCAGAAGGTTAAATTCACAACATGAGACTTTTTTGTTTGTGTTTTGGCATGCTGCCTATCAACTTGAATTATTTATTTCAGTTTTCAAAAGATATGGTTAAGTCAAGCAGAAGCTCCTTTCTGTCAGAACGACCCTGGAGGTGCTGAGTAAACTGTCTAGGTGTTGTTCTCTTGCTCTGAAAAAGGCAGCCTCAGGGCAGGGAAGGAGAGGCGTCAGCTTTCCTGAGGATGGAGGAACAGTGCAGAGATGCAGACCCTGGGCCTACACTGCCCAACATAGGTGCTTCCTGCAACTAACCTCCTCCTTCTCTCCGTCCTCATTCATCTGAGGCCCAGAGGGCGGAAGTACTGAGGCCATCTAGGTTCTGGAGCAACAGAGGATCCAACAGCTTTGAATGGAAGTGCAGAGTCTTTCCTAAACAGCAATGTCTTTCCTAAACAGCAACAACAACAACAAAACCCAAAGCAGAAGAGCGAACAAAAGCCAAATGGATCTAAAGATATTTATATCATTTAAAACTCCTACTTTGGGGGCCAGTGGATAGCATGGTGGTTAAGGCATTAAAATTCCCATATGGCTGGCTATGGTTTAAGTTCTGGACCTGGTGGCTGGCTTTCTCTCTCTCTCTGTTTTTCTCTGGCAAAACTCACATAAAATAATAAATAAATAAATAAATAAAATAAATCTTAAAAAGAAAATCCTACTTTGCCAAATTGTCAGAAGTAAGATGACCTTGGGACCAGCAGTTAGCGTAATGGCTATGTCGCTGGACTCCCATGTAATCAACCGTGGTTCGCGTCCCAGACCCGGTGGCTTAAAACTCACGCCGGGCACATGTGTGTGCATGCCCAAGATCCCTAGAGGAGAACGGAGAAGGGATTGCTGCGTGGCCATCCCCCCTGGGGGGGTGATTTCTGACTTTCTGTCTCTCTGTCTCTCTGTCTGGCGAGCACACGCGCCCTATAGCAAAAAAAAATAATAATAAATAAAAAAATAAAATAAAAAATAAAGAAGTAAGATGACCTGGCCAATTATTAATTTGGGGAACATTTTTCTCATATCTGGAAAACTGAGGACTTTTACTAGATCTTAATGAGAACCAACAAAAATTCAAATAGCATTTACTGATTGTCAATTTCCTGATTTTCACTGCCTTGGGGTTGATGGGGTACCGAAAGTATAACACATGGATTTTTACATTGAAGTGCTTTTTTGAATTTGAGCTCTAGTTGTTAATAATGACGTAAATCAGAGGGTAGGATAGTAATTAGAATAGGAGCTCAGAGTCAAAGAACTCCAGGTTTGAGTCTCAGCAACAGCTCTTATTAACTTTGCTAATACTTTGCCAAGTGTGTCATTCTCTCTGGTTTATCCTCCCCTTACTAATTTGCATACAAGATAATAATAGACTATTTCTTAGGGTTCTTGTGATGATAAATAAGTCATTGAACTGGCTGGCTGGTGGCATGATGGTTAGAGGTGCTGGACTCCTATGTGGCCGACCACAGTTCAAGACCCTGACCTGGTGACTTGCTTTCTCATTTTCTCTCTCTCTCTCTCTCTCTCTCATTCTGTCCCTCTCTGGTCAAATTAAAATAAATAAATAAATACATTTAAATAAAATAATTTTTAAAAAGTCAGTGAACTAAGTCTATTGTAAGCATTCACTGTATATTTAGTTGTTAATAATAATAACAATTATGGTTGACAATGATAAAAAGAGTTATAATAATAAATAACAGGTAATTTCTTTGTTAGTTGAAGGCAATGACAATTAAAAGGTGGAAGCTGACATGAGGCAGAGGGAGGGCATGCTTAATTAGCTTCTTTCTCACTCCTGGCTATCCTTTTTCTTTCTCTTTTTCTTTCTTCTCTTTCTACACTTCTTTCTTCTTTCTTTCTTTTTCTTTTAGAGAGATTTTTGCTGTAGGGCACATGCGCTTGATAGAGATACAGAGAGAGTGACAGAGAGAGAGAAAGTGAGAACCCATTCCCCAGTGGGGATGGTCACACGGCAATCTCTTCTCCTCTATTCTCCTCTCAGGATTTTGGGTATGCATACACATGCACCTGGCATAAGTTTCAAGCCTCTGGGTTTAGGACCTGAACCGTGGTCGACCATGTGGGAGTCAGCACCTTAAACACGATGTCACTTACTGACCTCATTGTCCCTTATTTTGCCCAGAGTTTTGGACCCTTGTGATGAAGTACACCAGAAATACATCTAGAATAAAGTAACAGGTCTGCTTCCTCTGAGGTCCAACTCTAACTCCTGGGCTAGATATCTTGTTCTAGGGTTAGTGCATCACTCCAGGTGCTTTTCTATGTAGAGCAGTAGCTCTGGTAAACTGGCCTCAAAATTCACATTTTTGATCAGAAGTTAAATTACTTGCCTAAGATCACAGAGTAAGTGGTAGCACTAGAGCTCAAACTGAGGCCCCATGGACCCAACTCTGTGCTTTACTGTCAGATTTGCCACCCTAACATATCTGATTTCTTCTCTCAACAAGGTTGCAAGGTGGGTAGCAGGTGCATTCTCCTCAATTTTCAGGTGAGGAAATCAAAGGATTTGTTAAGTAACATTTCTAAAGTAAATGCTGCTGATAAATGGCTTCACCAGAATTCTCCCCTAATCAACCCAGTGTTGCTTTCTCCACACTTGGTCTTGCTCTGCACATGTGACACGATTTTCATAGGTTGATAGTCCAACTGATAAGGATAAGAAAATATTTAATAGAACAAATGCATTTTTCTGGCAAATTGGTGCCTTGGGATAAAGAAAAAATGGAAACTAATGCCTATAAAAATTAGAAATAATGATAGGGCATTTTTGTGCTTCATTCAGGGACATTGTATCACCCACATGTAAGCAAATATTTAATTAGAAAGGCAAAACATGACTTCCACTAGGATGCTTAAATAGGAAAATATAGAATCATTTTGACTAGATCTCTGTAAACACAAGGAATTTTACTAAACTTATTTGATTACTGAGCTTCTATTTCAAAACAAAATGTGACTGAATAACATCATCAGCCAAATGATTCCAATACTATCCAACCGAGCAGGTTGCCCACCAGTTCAGTTTCCTTGTAATATTTAGATTAACTCCAATTTTCATATTTAGTTACCAGTCGTGGGCCAAATTGCATTCTAACTTTCCTAGATATACCTTTCAATGACTACACTGGAGCTGCAAACATGGA